CGGGACGAAAAAAAAATAAAAGGAACGCCTCGCTCGCCACGGCCAAAAGGCAGTCCAATGGAACCGTCGCGTCGTTATGTGCCGCGCTATACGATCCATACGATCATTCGTATCTTTCCTTCCTTTCGTTCTACCGTTATTTCCTTTTCTGTCTCTCTCTCTCTCGCTCTCTCTGTCTTTTCTTTTATTTTTGCGCGCTCGCGTTCGCCGGGGAAAATTTACGTAACGCCGTTGACCGGCGATTAAACGAAAAGAAAAACCTCATCGGCGATGCGTTCGCTGAAACGAACGGTGGAAATATTAAACCGAGGAAAGGGTATGATGCTATTATACAAATGCAACAAGCGCTTTTTTTTCTCTTCTCGGAGACTCGCTCCCCTTTTTCCTCTCCTTTCTCTCCCTTCACGGCCGATTATCCCTCTGAAAACGCGAAACCGGCAAGGGGGAACCGTGATTACGCGCAACAGCCTCCCTCTCTGTCTTCCTCCCTCTGCTCTCCCCTCCGCGTAAACTATTGCCGCATTTGCTTCTGACGTCCGCTTTGTTTCGACCTAGAGACTCTTTCGCGCGCTGTCTTCGCGTCCCGATTGGCCGCGCGGGGAATTAATCCGATGATTATTTCATCGTCGCAAGCGAAACGCTGTTTTTACGTGACTTCGCGATGTAGAACACGGATCAAGTAATGTCCTATTGCTCCCCGTTTGCATCTGTACCGTAATTTTTCAAGTGCTTCAGGGTTCAAACCCGAGAGAAGGGATGATTCTCAATTTAATTAAAAAATGCTACAAGCTAGTTCTTATAGATCTTCATTTAAATTTCCTTCTTTATGAACCGCTAGCTTTAGACGTATGGCGCTTAATGTGTTAAGGATGCGTGCACCCGTGAGCAAACAGGGAACGCATTCCCGTGCCGGCCATTTCTCCGGCGGAGCGGCGGGCCAGCGAGGAGGGCGGCGGAGATTGCGAGTAGCGCCGATCCGCGGGATACATCATTCATACACAGCCAAATCTCATATCGGTTTCTGATCCTCCGGCTATGACGGCCTTTGAAGCGGCTCTCCTTGCCGCCTGTCCCCGGTCCGATCCCGGCGGGCTCTGTTTATTGTTACGTCGCATTTATGCATGAACCGGCCGCGGCGCCATTGTCACGGGCACACGACGCGACGGACGCGTCCGTTGGACAGAGCCGGGACGATGGATGCGTGCCTGGGTCTGCCCTTTCTGACCGGAAGTTGGTAACGGTGAAAATGGAGGCAGAGTTATTGGGCCAAAACGGAAATCGATGCCACTGCTTCGACCATATTTGCGCCCCGTCTCTCTATCCCGCGAACGTTGGCTTCTCCGTTCACCGGCATTGTTTACTTTCGTGCGGGATTAATCCGTGCAAACCGGTTCGACGAAATTATGCGTCATTAGCTTGACGAATCGCGCTGCTCTGAGACGGTTCCCATTGGTGCGCGCTACTTTGTGAATTGCGAGGGATGATTCTTCGTTGATCAGTGTTTGTAGGTTTGAGAATACTTGGGAAAATTTGTGTTCTTCGCTGTCGAGGGATTTTTGAAGTTTTGCAAGTTATTTTAAATGCTGAATTGATGGAGGTTTGAATAGTGGGTGACGAGAGAAGTATCTGTTAATATTAATATTTAATATTTACAGCAATGTATAGTTACAAAGGGTTAACCCTTTACGCTCGAGAGGTCTCTCGCTCACCACTTGATTTCATACAGTGAAACTATAAAATTTGATATTTAACCCTTTGCACTCGGAAGCATTTCGTC